AGAATCTTTTCAACATTATGTTCCAGGTAGTCAGTTGGTATTTAAGATGAAAACTATACGTCATCTCCAAGTTATCAGGTATCTGGGAGAGAAAAATTTTAAAGATGACAGAAAGAACCACTTATATTAAGTCCAGAAAAAAAAAAACACAATAGTAGCAGTTACATTACATAGTCACAAAGCACTACATTTATTTTAGATACTTTAGACATTTTATTTCATTGAATCCTTACAACAGCCTTATGGGGCAAGTAATATCTCCATTTTACAGTGGGGGAAAGTCAAGGTTATCCTCAGCCTTCTCTCTGCTTATCTAATCCCCTTCTTCCATGGCAGCCCCCAAAACAGCTCTCCATAACTATTCCTTCTTTTAATCACCTATAGCATCTGATACTTAATAAATGTTATCCTCTACGATTATTTATCTTTTTATGCCTTTATCCTGCCTCACCATCTAAATACTATATTCCCCTTCATTAGTATAGCAAGTGCTCATAAACATGCTCATATAATGTCCAAAACAATTCTGTAAATAGCTAAAAAGTCCACAGTAAATAGCTATTAAAGGAGGCACGGTGGCTCACGCCTGTAATCCCAGCACTTTGGGAGGCCAAGGCAGGTAGATCACTTGAGGTCAGCAGTTTAAGATCAGCCTGGTCAACATGGCGAAACCCCGTGCCTACTAAAAATACCAAGATTAGCTGGGCATGGTAGCACTTGCCTGCAGTCCCAGCTACTCAGGAATCTGAGGCGGGAGAATCACTTGAACCCAGAAGGTGGAGGTTGCAGTGAGCTGAGATCGTGCCACAGAACTCCAGCCTGGGTGACAGAGCAAGACTCCCTCTCAAAAAAAAAAAAAAAAAGCTATTAAAGAAAACTTCTATAACCTATATTTGATCATCAGGCATTTTTAGTGCAGTGAACTATTATTTATTATCATAAATTAATCACTATCTGAGACCTTGGACAAACTGTCTTCATATGGCAAATGAAGACTTTATATGACATACTTCATATGGAATAGCTGAAGATCAGAAAATTAAACTAACCTGCCCAAAGGTAAAAAGCTAGCAACAGAAACATTAAGTATTTCAGGTAAGGCCTGTTTCTTCATAAGTGCCATATACTTTTCACACACATATCCAAGAAGCGGGAGGTTTACAGTTATTCCAACATATATGACATTAATAGATAACACACACTTGAAAGGTTGCCTAATATGAAAACAGTTTCTTTCTATTGCTTGATGATGCCCAATTTCCCTGAAATGATTTAACAGGGCTCTGATACATCAAGTTACTCTATAATTAATATGAATCATCTTTTAAACAGTAATTGAATTTTTTGTTTGTTCTGACATATCTTTTAGGTAGATTTCTGTTATTCTCAATCTTTCTGTTTATAGGGGACATTTCCAACTTTATCAAATTCATATGATGTATAAGACTCTTTTTCTTCTATTAGTTCTGACTTCTAAAGTTCTCAAGTTTTTAGAGTAGCAAATTCTCAAGTTTTTGAAGTAGCATTTTTAAGTAGCAATAGTAAGCTGTAAGTACAAGGAACTCAGGAGCTGGAATTTAAAACTCACTAGCAATACATACCCATGGCAAGTAACAAAAGAAGAGTTAGGAAAATAGGAGTGACATAAGATGAGAAAAAGATATCTATGACAAGGGCTAAACACAATATTACACTTGTTATAGTGACCAAAATGCCTGTTAATGTGTATGTTATGAAGCAAGAAAGGCTTTAACCTGTAAAAACATTTTTAAAAGACAAAATTATGACTGCCTGCATAAAAAAACCCAATGAAGAACAAAAATAGAATACAATAGAAAATAAATAGAGGTACAGCCAAAGACAAGGCACTGGCTTCAGTGTGGCCTTTATAACATTGCGGCTGTAAGAATTATATAAACCAAATTTGTTTTGGAAGATAATACACTTACAAATACTTACAGGCAAACTCTTTTCAATAAACACTGTTTAGATAATAAAAGCCTTACTATATTACCCATTTAGTTACACTAGAGATTTGAAAGCTTATATAAATGGCCCATATATCAGAGTATGTAGATAAGAAATGATAGTAAAGAAGTAATAAGAAGCATAGTCATCAATGACTCCCATACCACATTAAATTGGAGGCTGCCCACACAGGTAATAAAACTTTGGAAGTTGGGGGTCTGGTGATTTTGGTTGCTGGCTACATTTGAAGCATTTCTAGAACAGTGACTACATTAAAGATTTCATTCTGTGCCATTTAATATTTAGGCAATTATCAATATACATAATAGCTGTACCACTACAAAAGACTGCATAAAAATTACATTTCTTCAAAAAGGAATTTGATTTTAAAGGCTTACCACATAAGAGAATTCTTTCTCCTCACTCACTCATTCAACATATTTTTTAGTGCCTTCTACAGGCATACTTTGTTTTATTTTGCTTTGCCTTCTTGCACTTTGCAGTTATTGCATTTTTTACAAATCAAAGGTTTGTGGCAAGCCTGCATTCAGCAAGTCTATTGGTGCCGTTTTTCCAGTAGCATGTGCTCACTTCATTTCTATATGTCACATTTTGGCAATTCTGATAATATTTCACACTTGTTTATTATTATTATGTCTACTATGGCGATCTTTGATGTTACTACTGTAATTGTTGTGGGCACCATAAACTGCACCCATACAAGGTGCAAACCTAATCAATATATGTTGTGTGTGTTCTGACTGCTCGACCACCCAGCCCATCCCCCATCTCTCTCTCTCTCTCTCTCTCTCTCTCTCTCTCCCTCCCTCCCTCCCTCCCTCTCCCCACTCAGGCCCCCCTATTCCTTGAGACATAACAATATTGAAATTAGGCCAATTAATAATGCTATAATGGCTTCTAAGTGTTCAAGTGAAATAAAGAGTTATATGTCTCTCACTTTAAATGAAAAGATACATATGATTATGCTTGGTAAGGAAATTGTGTCAAAAACCAAGATAGGTCAAGAGCTAGGCCTCTTGAACCAAACAGCCAGGTTGTGAATGCAAAGGAAAAGTTCTTGTAAGAAATTAAAAGTGCTACTCTCATGAACACATAAATAAAAAGAAAGCAAAATAGTCTTATTGCTGAGACACAGAAAGTTTTATTGATCTGGATACAAGATCAAACCAGCCACAACATTCTCTTAACCCAGTGTGTAATCTAGAATATGGCCCTAACTCTCTTCAATTCTATTAAAGCTGAGAGAGGTGAGGAAGATACAGAAGAAAAGTTGGAAGGTAGCAGATATTGGTTCATGAGGTTTAAGAAAAGAAGCCATCTCTATAACGTAAAAGTACAAGGTGAAGAACCAAGTGCTAATGTAGAAGGTGCAGCAACTTATCCAGAAGATCTAGCTAAGATAATGGAAGGAAGTAGCTAAACAAAAGATCTTCAATGTAGACGAAATGGAAGAAGATATCAAGACTTTCACAGCTAGGGGAAAAAAGTCAATGCTTAGCTTCAAACAGCAGGTTTACTCTCTTAATAGGGGCTAATGCAGCTGATAACTTTAAGTTGAATCCAATATTCACTGACCATTTTGAAAATCGAAGGGCTCTCAAAAATTATGCTAAATCTACTCTGCCTGTGCTCTATAAATGGAACAATACAGCCTAGCTGACAGCACAGCATGGTTTACTAATATTTTAAGCCCACTGTTGAGACCTACTACTCAGAAAGATAGATTACTTTTCTTTTTTTTTTTTTTTTTTTTTTTGAGACAGGGTCTCACTTTTGTCACCCAGGCTGGAGTGCAGTGGCACCATCTTGGCTCACGGCAGCCTCAACCTCCTAGGTTCAAGTGATCCTCCTGCCTCAGCACCCTAAGTAGCTGAGACTACAGGAGCTCTCTACCATGCCTTGCTAATTTTTGTATTTTTAGTAGAGACGGGGTTTTGCCATGTTGCCCAGTCTGGTCTCAAACTCCTGAACCCAAGTGATCCACCTGCAACAGCCTCCCAAAGTGCTAGGATTACAGGTGTGAGCCACCACGTCCGGCCAATTCCTTTCAAAATATTACTGCTCATTGGCAATGTACCTGGACACCCAAGAGCTCTAATGGAGATGTACAAGCAGATGAATGTTGTTTTCATGCCTGCTGACACAACAGCCATTCTGCAGCCTGTGGATCAAGAAGTAATTTTGACTTTCAAGTCTTATTATTTCAGAAATACACTTCATAAGGCTAAAGCTGCCATAGATAGTGATTCCTCCAATAGATCTGTCAATTGAAATTCTCCTGGAAAGGATTCATTATTCTAGGTGCCATTAAGCACATTCATGATTCATTGGAGGGGATCAAAATATCAAAATGAACAGGAGTTAGGAAGAAGTTGATTCCAACCCTCATAGATGACACTGAGACTAGAATTAGAAATGGAGCCTGAAGATGGGACTTAATTGCTTCAATCTCATGGTAAAACAAACAGATAAGGAGTTGTTTTTTATGATGAGCAAAGAATGTACTTTCTTGAGATGGAATCTACTCTGTGAATATGCTGTGAACTTTGTTGAAATGACAACAAAAAGTTTAGAATATTATATAAACTTGGTTGATAAAGCAGTGACAGGGCTTGAGAAAACTGACTCCAATTCTGAAAGAAGCTCTACTGTGGGTAAATACTATCAAACAGCATTACATGCTATAGAGAAATCATTCATGAAAAGAAGAGTCAATCAATGTGGCAAACATCATTTTTGTCTTAAGAAATTGCCATAGTCAACCCAATCTTCAGCAACTACCACCCTGATCAGTCAGCAGCAATTCATGTGCAGGCAAGACACTCCACAGGCAAAAAGATTACCATTCACTGAAGGCTACTGATCATTAGCATTTTTAAACAATAAAATATTTTTAATTAAGGTACATACATATTTTTAGACAAAATGCTATTTCATACTTCATGGACTACAGTATAGTGTAGACATAACTTTTATATGCACTGGGAAACCAAAAAATTAATGTGGTTTACTTTATTGAGATACTTGCTTTATTGTGGTATCTGGAACAAGACCTGCAACATCTCTGAGATATACCTGTATATACCAAGTCTGAAGTTTGGTGTTAGTGCTATGGTAGCAAAGAAAAACAGACACAATATCTTTCCCCATGAAATATAAAGTCCATAGGAGAGACAGATACTAACCACACAATTACAATCACTAGACAAATGTAAATTTATAACCAAAACTAGTGCTATGGAGGAAATTATAGGATTTCACCTTGCCACAGGGTCTTTGGTACAAAGGAAAACCTCTCCATAATTTAAAAATGCAATTCACAAACTTGATAGTTTTATAAATTTTGGTTTTTATATATTGATGTCTTTAAAATCAGGGCACACACATTAGAAAGGTTATTACTTTAGATAAATGCCATCATTGAAAGAAAAAGCAACTTTATTTTTTAATCATTTTAATTGACAAAATTTGTATATATTTATGATATACAAAGCAATGTTCTCATATATGTATATACTATGGAATGATTTAATCAAGCTTATTAATATATCTGCCACGTCGCTTATCAATTTTTTGTGGTGAGAACATTTAAAATGTACTCTCTTAGCAATTTTCAAGTGCACAATGCATTATTATGAACTATAGTCCCCATGCTGTACAATGGCTCTCCTGAACTTATTTCTTCTATCTAACTGAAACTTTGTGTCCTTTGGCCAATATTTCCCCATTCTCCCATTTGCAACCCCTGGTAACCACCATTCAACTCTCTGATTCTCTGAGTTCCACTTTTTTAGATTCTACACATAAGTGAGATCATATGATATTTGTCTTTCTATGCCTGGCTATTTCATTAAGCTTAATGTCTTCCAGCTTTACTCATACAGTTGCAAATGACAGAACTTCCTTTATGAGGCTGAGTAGTATTACATTCTGTATATATACCACATTTTTCTTTATCCATTCATTCAACCACATTTTCTTTATCCATTCATTCACTGATGTACCCTTAGTGATGTTGAGCATTTTTTCATGCACCTATGGGTCATTTGTATGTCTTCTTTTGAGAAATGTCTATTCAGATCTTTTGCACATTTTTCAGTAGAGTTATTTGTTTTCTTGCTATCAAGTTCCTTAAATATTTTGGATATTCACCTCTTATCAGATGTGTGGTTTGAAAATACCATCTCCCATTCCATAGGTTACAAGAGAAAGAAACTTTAAATTTGTATTATGCAATATCTGAGATAGCCCATCCTTAAAAAAAGTCATTCATGCTAAAATACCTAATTTAAAATTTGAGAATTAATTTCACATTTCAAAAAATATCCAAAGATCTGGGCTGGGTGTGGTGGTTCACGCCTGTAATGCCAGCACTTTGGGAGGTCAAGAAGTGTGCACTAGAGGGCTGGAATTTGAGACCAGCCTGGCCCTTAATCCCAGCTACTCAGTTGGCTGAGGCACAAGAATCGCTTGAACCCAGGCAGCGGAGGTTGCAGTGAGCTGAGGTCATGCCACTGCACTCTAGCATGGGCAACATAGCAAGACTCTGTCTCAAAAAAAAAAAAAAAAATCCAAAGATCTGGAATAGTACATGCTATAGTTTAGATACTGGCCCCTCCAAATCTCATGTTGAAATGTGATTCCCATTGTTAGAGGTAGGGCCTAATGAGAGGTATCTGGATTGTGGGACAGATCCCTCATGAATGGCTTGGTGCTATCCTCATGGTAATGAGTTAGCTCTATCTCTATCAGTTCCTATGAGTGCTGGTTGTTAAAAAGAGCCTGGCACCTTGCTGCCCTCCTTTATTCTACTCTCATGACATGATCTCTGCATACACTAGTTTCCCTTCCTCTGCCATGAGTAGAAGCAGCCTAAGGTTTTCAGTAGATGCCCAATCTTCCAGCCAGAAAAATCATGAGCCAAATACACCTTTTTTCTTTATATATTACCCAGCCTCAGGAATTCCTCTATAGCAACTTAAATGAACTAAGACAGTGTCAATAATTTAAAGCTGCTTTTAAACACAGGCATTTTAACAACATTTCTCCTTCAAAGAAGTAGCTAATAGACATTAAGTATGAAGACAGTATTTTTTCAACGAAACCCATTCCCAAAAAAAGCTTATTTCGTTAGGCTCTATCTTTACACACATATGCAATTACTTCAACTTACATCAATACAAACTAATTCATGTCTTATCAACTTTCTCTGTATATATGGCTAATATTTTTGACAACATGATTATCTCTGAAAAAGTAAATCCTGGGAGGCTGAGGAGGGTGGATCACCTGAGGTCGAGAGTTTGCAACCAGCCTGAACAACATGGTGAAATCCCATCTCTATTAAAAATACAAAATTAGTTGGGCATGGTGGCGCATGTCTGTAATCCCAGCTATCGGGAGGCTGAGGCAGGAGAATCACTTGAACCCAGGAGGCCAAGGTTGCAGTGAGCCGAGATCCCACCATTGCACTCCAGCCTGGGCAACAAGAGCGAAACTCCGTCTCAAAAAAAAAAAAAAGGTGAATTTTTAATTTGAATCTCCTAAAAGCAAAGAGCTAAGGGTGTTAAAGTCTAATGGAAGATACTACGCAAATATTAAAAAGAGTATTTGCTCCTTCTTGACAACATAAAATGTATACTTAACATTTTTAAAAAATAACTTTAGCAATCTCAACAGCATGTGCATAATACCTTATCTCCTCATATGTTTAATTTCTGGAATGTCAACTTAGATGAGACTTTATTATACAAAAATGGTTACTTGTACTGAATATTTAAAGTTGTATGTTTTTAAACTTTTTGCAAACCTTAAAAGGTAAAAGTTCAAAACTCTAAAAGTACAAAACTTAAAAGTTCATTTCACAAATCTTGCTGTGTATATAATTTATAATTTTACTAGAAAAATAAAAACAATTACTTTTACATTTTATCTTCATGTTCAATTTGTTACAGATTAAATTCTCCTAAACAATTATTTTCAATTATAAACCAGTGAAACTAAGTTGTCTAAAACATTTAAAACTAAATCTACAAATCAAATAAATCTGATTTTTCTCAAACCTTTCAAATGAGCGACAGGGTAGCCTTGCAAATCCAACAACCAAAATACATAAGCAACTCTTGTAAATTTAATAAGCCAAACTAATAAATGGAATAAATCCAATTCTCTTAAAGGTTCTGACACTGTTTAGAAACTTAACCAAATTATTTTACATCTTTCATATTAAAATCCTCCTAAGTATGGTATAACAGTGAAGTAAAAAAAACAAAACTTGGGGCCAGGCAGAGTGGCTCATGCCTGTAATCCCAGCACTTTGGGAGGCCGAGGCAGGCAGATCATGAGGTCAAGAAATAGAGACCATCCTGTCCAACATAGTGAAACCCTGTCTCTGCAAAATATACAGAAATCAGCCAGGTGTGGTGGTGGGTGCCTGTAATCCCAGCTACTGGGGAGGCTGAGGCAGGAGAATCGCTTAAACCCGGGAGGCGGAGGTTGCAGTAAGCCAAGATTGCACCACTGCACTCCAGCCTGGTGAAAAAGTGAGACTCCATCTCAAAACAAAAACAAAACTTGGATCCTGAGGACTTTGCAGAATAGAACTAATATATCAGTAGTGAACAGACTGCCTCACTCATATGAAAGAGTAATAAACTATCTTGTTTAACCTACTAAATTTCACTGGGTTTTCCTTCGCTCACAACCAAGCATGATCATAGTTAATTTATAGTCTATGTTTAACTTGAATTAAATATTTCAAGTTAAAATAACAAAGCTAACAGGGCAGATTCTCTGATATGTCCTTCTTAAAGGTTTCAAAACACCTTTAACAACAAATACACACATGTAATATCACGATGACTATAAAACTTATTCCCAAACATAATGTTAAAAATGTTAGTACTAACGGATTTGCTTTACGTCATAAACATAGATAGTATGCTTACCAACATACGGTGTAGGGATATGGATTATCAGTCAGTGCATCAAGACACAGGACCTAGGGGCCTCTTCCAGGAGAGTTCTACCTGGCTAGTATGTGAATTTCCTTCTTATGGTATTAGGATTTTTCAAGTCCATGATTTTTCTTACAACCCAATATATCATACATACTTTTAATTTTTTTAAGTAACCTCTTAATACAACCTTTAATTGCCTGGTTTGAATTGATGATATTCTGTACACCATAGTCAGATTCCACTAAATCTTCTTACTGACTGATTGGACTCTGCCTCCTTTTCTTCTCTTTTTCATCTTGTTCAATATCACAATGCTAATTCATTTTGTTGACAGAAAAGATACAACAGAAAAATCAGCTTTTAGCCTACTGTTATTACTTTTACAAAATGACAACCAACAATTACGTATAATATAACTTGTGGCTGTAAAACAGAATGTTTCATGTCCACCTTTATTTATTACTTGGCTTTAATGGATGGCTATATGTACAACCTTATTAACCATAAGAAATTAAAAGTAGCCTTTTCCAAAAGGTGACCAGATATCTTGGTAAGGCCAAGAAAACAGTCCACATTTTCAATGAGTACAAATAAGCTAGATAGCCAAAACGGCTGAAAAAAGAGAGTTCAAAGTGGACAATCAGCTTCCCCACCATCTTGGGTTCCCTGGCAGAAGATCTGTCCCAGCCTCAACCCACAGGAAGCATCATGAACTTCTAAAGGGAGAAATATCCCTGAGGACAGCTAAAGACAATGTGGGGAGGTGGGACCACAATCCCAAGTCCTGAAAACTCTGCTCTGTAACTCTGTCAAAGGAGATGCCAAACGAGATTGACTGTTCAGCAGCACCACATTGTAGGAGCTGTGTTACACAGGTCCCCTGAGTACAAACCCCTAGCCAGCCTTCCAACATTGCCAGAATATTCCATTTGAGACCTCCCCCATTTGAGATGGGTAGTGCTCTGATCAAATACTGAATACCAGAGCTCAGGCAAAGGTGGGCTTAAGGTGCCATTTAGTGCCAAAAAGGGGGCAGCAATCTTACAAGAAAAAAAAGAAAGAAATTAAAAAATACAAACTCTAAAGAAACATATCCAGT